CCCCAAAACCCCAAAACCCCAAAACCCCAAAACCCCTTCATACAAATCTTATGTTGAAGTTACTCCGAGTATATTTTAAGTAGCTCTCTGTTCTTGCTTAATTTGCTTTGGTCATATTTCAGCAGGTTGACATTGATCCCTCCGTTTACAAAATCCAGTTGTGACTTCCACCCGCAATTTGACAGCCTGGTAAAGGCTAATGGGTTAGAGTATCTCATCTTCCTGGCTACTACGTAAATTTCATTGTTCATTTCAGGGGCGATTTGGTTGCAGAGGTGACCAAATCTTCTGAAGACATCCTGGATGCCAGTGTACTGATAGCCTCTCTTCTTCTGGTCTATTATACCTTTGGCCATTTTCTTGTCAAGGTTCTTAGCTTGTTTGGGGTGCAAGATTTGTTTTCCATAAGGCACATTTGTGATTATGCTGAAATCCTTGAATGAACCGTAAGTGGAGTGGATTTGATGAGCGACAGCTTCGAAGTCTCCTTTGTAGAAACTGAAGAAGGGAGGAGCTTGAGTGGTTAGTGAGCCCGGCTGTGAGGAGGTCAAAGTGGTGCTGGGAGAGGTGGGCGAAGGGAGTTGGTCCTGGTGATGCCGGTGTAGAGGTGGAAAGTGGTAGGAAGGTAGCAGAGGGTTGTCTTTGAAGGAGCAGGTGGGAGAGAAGGACGGGTTATGCCGGTAGAAGGGGATTCCTGAGTTGTAGATGTAGTCTTTGATCATTTTTATGTCTGAGCCGATTATTCTTATGTCTACTTTGGGGTCTAATTCGTAGTTTTCGAGGGTTTTGAATATTTCTGATTTGGTTTCTTCGAATTCATCAGCTTTGAATATTGGCCAGTGCTCAAATCAGAATTGCATTGATTCTCTTTTAAGAGGATCTCCTCTGAACATCTGGAGAAGCTCAATGAGGAATGTTCCAGTTCCACAGAAAGGGTCCCAGACATAAAGCTTTCCTGTATTATTTGCTCTTTCAATGATGCCTATTTAATGATTAATTATACTTACCTGATTCTAAAATACTCGCAGCTGCTAATGTTTCTCTGATAACTCCAGGTACGATTCTATTCCTCCTAATTGGCTCTAACTGATTCTCATTTTGCTCTGCTTCAAGTGCACGGTACCCATGCTTGTACAAAGAGTCATAGACTGTATCAAGGAGTACTTCTGCTTTGTTTTTATGCAATATTACATTGATTTTACTCAGCTTCATTAACTCCTCGTTTCTCTTAATGTTCATCTCAATCTTTGTTCTGTAGAAGTCAATACTATCAGCTTGAGCTTTCTTAGGGAAGTTATCTCTGAAATCTATGATATTTCTGTTTTCTTTTCTCAATTTGTCTTTATATTCCTTCTTGAATCTCTTGAAGCCAATGGCTCTGTTAACCTTGTTGTACTCCTTCCTTATTGGCAAATCGTTTATGTGAATTTGGACCAAATCTGTGATCTTCCTTGTATGATAGAGGTTACTTTGGAAGGATTTCGCAGTCACAAGAGGAAATTTATACTTCAGAAAATCATCCAACGGCATGAAGGCATGCCAAGGAATTTTGTGTAGATTTTTGGTAAACTCTTTATCCCCTCTTGCAAGGAAGGGTTTTGTGACTCTCAACTGTACATCTTCAGCTATACGACTGTGGTAAATAATCTTGTATAAATCTTTAAGAGTTCCGTTGGTCTCCACGATCTTCCTGCCAGGGACGACCTTTGCTTTCTTGAAGCCCAGCAATTTGAGTTCCTTCACCAGAGTGGTAGCTATAGAAATAGTAAACTTCTTACCAGGATTTGAGACAATTCTGAATGTATACTGAGACATTTGTGGTGACTGAATTTATTATATAACCCCAGAGTATTTAGCGGGGTTTTGGGGTTTTGGGGTTTTGGGGTTTTGGGG